GACTGGCTGCTTAGTTTTTGTTTAAGCTGGAGGTGTGCCCACGGCGCCACGGCACACAGGCGTTCAATGTCACACTGAGTGCACTCTCTCATTACCCACAATCCCCCATGGGGCTTTTGCAGGACCGGTTGCTGTCATCACAGAGCTCTAGTGAGGAGAAATGGGTGAACGAGGTGTGGGTGACTGCGCTAATAATAAAGGGGCGTTTACCTCCGGGTGACTCACCTCTCTTTTTCTCAGGACCATGAACCATTTCCAAGATTGTTGTTGGGATGAATGTCCTGACAAAAAATGCTCATAGGTCTCGTATAATCAGCCTCGCCTCATGCTGTCCAAAGCCATTTGAACGCTGTGGCTGCCGTCAGGGTCTCAGGGCCAATCTATACCCGAATCGATCAACCCCCAGAAGGAGCCAGCGATTCAAAATTTGTTTGTGGTGTCCATGGGAATGCGGCTCACGCTGTTTAATTGGGTGACACGTTCTGCACTCGGGTATTTTGAATGATGCTTGTGTCATGGGCTTCCTGTGTAGATATTGTCATGGCTGGTTTAAGGCTGATGTTTATCGGCTTGGCTCTGCTGTGGAAGATAGCAGCGGGTTGCAGTATTTTGACGTGAGGCGGCATCTTATTCTAGACAGCTGGATGTAGATGTGAGCGCATCCAAAAATGCAACATTTATAAATAATAAATCATAATAAACATTTCTTCTGCCAAGTAGTATAGTTCATTAGTCTAATTGTAGACTGTCAGCAGTTGCCAAACAACTTGGTGCGTTAATATAGAATTCAACTGATGTGCGGTCACAGGTTCATGGGATCCAAAATAATTTTTTTGCATTATTTTTTGGCATAGAGAAGACTTTTATCTGTTTTTTTTTTTAAGAAATTGATTTTTCAGCAAGGATGCTTTAAATTGGATTGAGAATACTGATTTGTATAGCAGATTTCAAAAGCGATATTTATCCACCTTTTATAGTGTACATTATAATGAAGTCACTTATAAATTCAGTTGAAACAAAAAAACTACTTAATTTTGTCTTTTCTGTCTTAATTTTCTGTATTTAAAAAAGATAGAATGATCTTTTTTAGAATTATATTAAATTATATATATATATATTTACTACTAGTTTACTGCGAAATAAACATGAATGAACATCTCATGCCTCATGTAATCGCTCAATCAGTGTTTCAACCATGGAAAGACGTTAAAACAAATGTCACGTAGCATTTAATTTACTTCAGACAGGCAAGTCATCATTAGTCGAGCTCGTTAGTTCGCTAGAGAAATTAAGTCTAAAGAGCATTTTGCGAAATATTAGACTATATACGCATTATATTTTACCTGTTTACCATGTCTTAATTATTTAATGTGTTTAAATAAATCTGTTATGAAACAAGTTATAACAGCCACTGTATAAATGAATATATTTCAGCAACAAATAGAAATTGTATAGTTTAGAAGTTAATTAAAAAAACTGCGTTACGTGCAATTTACATGTTTGCATACGATTATTAAGTTGAGTGTTGATTATTATATTTAAAAATAAATGGTAATTAAATTTAATATTGGGCTCTGTTGTTAATTGTAACCTTGTATTAATGTAAAAGGGCTCCCTATAGTTTAGAGCATAAACAGAGGTAGATTTTTATCCCTAAGAAAATTTTTATTATAATTGAATTTATTTAAAGAAAGAGCAGTTTGTTCAGTAAACCACTGTTTAATAAAAGAAAAGCAATTTTATGTTTTGTTTTTCCCCCTGCTGTACCGAAACCATACCGAACCATGACGTCAAATCCGAGGTATGTACTGAACCATCAGGTTTGTGTACTGTTACACCCCTACTATTTACCTTGTCTGTTTAATTTAATTGCCATTATGAATCCGTGCAACATTGTTTTAAAACTGACTGTGTTGTACAATTGTTTACAGTTTGCTCGTCATCCCACAGAAGGGAGGGGCGGGGTCAGCAGAGCTCATTAGCATTTAAAGCAACATGGACTAAAACAGCGTGCTGAAAACAGAGCTGATTTTGACAGGGTAAAAAGGGTGTTTTTACACTACCATTGAGAAATTTTAACCAAAGTATGTTATAGACTTTTCATTAAGACTTAAAGAATCATGTCAGCTTGTGGAAAATGGGCATCCGATGACCCCTTTAAGAGAAAAGGGAGAAGGGAAACAACAAAAAACACGTGCACAATGACAGCGTAAAAAACAACTTTTTCATTAAATAAGATACATAACGTAACAACACCTATGTAGTATTTACGTAACATAAAATATTTAGTTGATTTATTAAATTTCTTATGTACAATTTTTACTCAATCACTGATTAATCTTTCCTTTTTAGTTATTTATGGTTTATGGAAGCCTCCCAAATGCTTCTTATTTTCAAATCCAGAGTATAAACTGCACTTTTTAGATCAAACTCCAAGAAGAGAAACTCCAAACCAGAAGCATCAAAATATCAAAGGAAGCATCAGCAGCAGAGCGTCCCGCCAAGGTCATGCAGAGATCACCCCGTGGACTCGCTTTGAGTGTTTCCTGTGTGATCATTGAACCTCAGAGATGAATAATTTCCAGTTCTTTATATTGATACCCTGTGAAGAAGTGGAGGACTTATTTGATCTTTCATGGATCTTTTAAGCCCAAGTAACACGTCAGCTCTCGCCGCTGATCTACTCGTCACGTCTAATGATATTCCGGTACGATTTTGGATGAGACTTTATTCCTGTTGTCATTGACATTGCTTTGACAGGATTACGCCAATAATCAAGCCCATTATAAAGAAGCCACAGGCATGACTGATCTACAGGCTACATGCTCTGAAGATCTGTCATGAACGACTGGCTTTCTGCTCTCGGCTGTTTTGAATGATGCTTGTGTCATGGGCTTCCCGTGTAGATATTGTCATGGCTGGTTTAAGGCTGATTTTTATCGGCTTGGCACTGCTGTGGAAGATAGCAGTGGGCTGCAGTATTTTGACGTTGGTGTGTATTATTCAGGCGTCGTCTTATTCTTGACAGCTGGATGTGGATGTGAGCGCATCCAAAAATGAGCGTAATACCCCCAACATTTATAAATAATAAATTAGAATAAGCATTTCTTCTGCCAAGTAGTGTAGTTCATTAGTCTAATTGTAGACTGCCAGCAGTTGCCAAACAACTTGGTGCATTAATATAGAATTCAACTGATGCAAAAAAGTTTTTTTGGCATACAGAATACTGTTATATCTACTGTTTTGCTAAATAAATAAATATTTTTTATTCAGCAAGGGTGCTTTAAACTGATAATGCTACAAAATATTTATATTTCAAATAAATGTTTTTTTTTTGGGAAACTTTCTATTCATCAAAGAATCGTGAAAATCACGGTTTCCACAAAATATGAAGCAGTACAACTGTTTTTAACATTGATAATAATGATAAATGTTTCTTGAGCAGCAAATCTGCATATTAGAATGATTTCTGAAGGATCATGTGACACTGAAGACTGGAGTAATGATGCTGAAAATTCAGCTTTGCATCACAGGAATAAATAATATTTTAAAATATATTCAAACACAGGTTATTTCAAATGGTAATAATATTTCAAAATTTCACAGTTTTTACTGTATTTTCGATCAAATAAACGCAAACTTGGTGAGCATAAGATACATTATGACATAAAATCTTACCGACACATTTTTCAGCAGGGATGGACGATGTTGGCTGGTCAGCCATAACATGAAAATGATTATCATCACAATATCTATAGTTTGGCCTAAATCCTAACATTTTTTTGTCATTCTTATGAACCTGTGCTACACTGTGAATGAATAATTTATTGTTCTTTTAAAAATGACTGTGTTGTAAAAAAGTGTGCGACAGCTCCCTGAGTACTGATGAGCATTTCAAAGACAACACGAGGCAGCAAGGTGCTGAGAGGACTTAAATGTTCCCATCCGCCACTTTACTGGCCTGTGAACGACAGGGAAACCTTTCTGTTAGCTGAACCGAAGAGTTCTGAAGATCCCTTTTAAATTAGATTGAAATGCAGCCAAAATCTCCTTGGAAAGTGTTCAAATGCAATAGTCCTTCATTTGATTTTGGGATAGTTTCATTTGCACTTGAAGTGGTCTTGTTACCAACTTAGCTGTCATTAGCTATGTTTCCATCCAAAGTTGCTAATTTAACTTATGCGCAAAATTGGAATATCGCATAAAACATTTACAAATGAAGCACCGTTTTTCCATCCAATGAGACAAAGATGACAAAATCATCACTTCCTGATAAACTGGCACTAAATATCAATAAGAAAAGTAGGAGAAGCCACTGAATGTAATAATTTTCATATATAATAAATGACTTGCGCATCAGAGCGAGCAGACGAAACAATAAATGCGGTCATTGCTTTCAGAGGCGGATGCTGCTGTTCGGGAATGCAGTCATGTAAAATTATATAGAAATGCTTTGACAGACTTTGCTCAGGCATTTCAAAATGACCAAAACAACATTTTAGATGCTGTGCAATGAGATCGGTCCGCTGGTTAGTCAAGTTATCCCGTCTCATCGCGTAAAGTCACATGACTTTTTTTGATGCGCATGGAGGATTTTATTTGGTAAATGTGTTTCCATATCCCATTATTCGCATTAACTTTTTTCAAAATACACCTCAAGCGAGCATAAAAACTTTTTTTACGAATGAAGGGATTTTTTTTCTCGAACTTTGGTGTTTCCATCACTCTTTTCTGATACGATACTTCAAAATGCACATAAAAACAGGGTGATGGAAGCATGGCTACTGTATGCTTAGCTCTTAGTGTGCCAATCTCTCCATCAAAGTTCTTAGCATTAACAAAAATTACAATAAAATAAAAATATAAAATTGAAAGTAGAAATTAAAAATATTTGTTTTTAACCATACTAAAATTGAAAACAAAATTAGAAAATGATGCTACATAAAGTAGTGGATTTTTCAAAACTATAACAGCTATTATTTCCATGTCTCCTTCTGCAGGAACGGACATACAGCTCTTTCTTGTTGATTTTGTACAACAACCTGAAATCACTACATATCTGTCTACTGAAAGAAAGAGATGGGGTGAGGCTTGTTGATCAGGTTCAGTGTCAAAGTTGATTTGATTTTAAGTCAAACGTCTGATTCCTGGCCTGGCTTCCTTCTTCGTTTGAACCGAGTCTGTTTATGAATTTCATATAGGTTTATATGAGGTCAGAAAACTGATTTCTGCTGGCCTTGAATGGAGTTCGTCTTCATTATAATGGATAGTGGGTTGAGTCATGCAGTATATTGCATTTTATATATATAAATAAATACAGCCTGAAGGTATGTGAAATGAATAAGCTATGTGAAAAATTTAGGAAATGGCATTGAAAATGCAGTCTTGACAGAATTTAAAGGCCAATTTTTGAATGTGTCAACCAGTAAATTGGCTTTTTGTTTGTTTATAAGTGTTTCTTAGGGATTTTTTAATTAAACTCCTTTTAAACCAGTGGAAACTGGTGCTTTTCGGACGGCAGTATAGAAGCACAGACATCGCTTATCAATGGTGAAATATGTACTACAAAGATTCTTCTCAAACTTCCCCTAAACAGAAAAGTTTTTTCTGATATTTGTTGGCTCTAGTCACTCCCTCCCATTCGTGCTCTGTCTCCTTTAGACAAAGTGGTGGCCATCAGATAGCCATCGATCAGGTTGATTATTTTGATGTTTAATCCGTCCCACTGTTGTTCATTAGTCATCTGAGCTCAATAGCATCGGCTACAGTGGTTTACAGCCTGTCAGTCATCGTAGATGAAGTATTCTGTCTGTTGTTGTCGTGAAGGGATTCTGGGAGGTCTCGGCGCACAAAGAGATGGGCTTGTTAGCGCAAGAGGGATGGAGAGATGTCTCTGTGTCAAACTGCAGACCGATCACTTTTGGGTGTTTAATGATGGTTAAAAATGTCTGACGTCTGCATGGAATGACAAACTAGACCAGAGTTCAGCCAGGAACTCCCAAAACAGATGCTCCACACGACCTTTGATTTATTAAATAGTCAATTAATTTTGTTTAACATTGCATGATCTTTGCTCTACATGTTTAGAAGGAAGCGTTTATGCCTATGGTTTCTCATGAGGACTTACACAGTTTTTCAATTATGACTGATACGAGTTATAGACTGATGAACTGGTTTGGCACATTCATTGGTTCATATTTGAGCATTTAGAAAATCAGCATTGGATGATGATAACTATTCCAGTAGGCAGATTAAAGGGATAGTTTCTCCAAAAATAAAAATTTGTTTGTTTCTTCTGTTGAACACAATAGAAGATATTTCGAAGAATGTTGGTAACCAAACTTTTGCTGGTAGCCATTGACCTCCATAGTATAGAAAAAAAAAATGGTTACGCACATTTTTCAAAATATTTTCTTTTGTGTTCAACAGAAGAAAAACACTCATACAGGTTTGGAACAAATTGAAGGTGAGTAAATGATGACAGAATTTTCATTTTTGGGTGAACGTACCTGTATATATATATATATATATATATATATATATATATTCTTTATTGTTATTAAAGTTATTGTTATTAAAAATTATTGTTAATTTTATTAATTTGAGTACTTATAGTTGCCATTAAGTTGCCAAAGTTTATCATCTATTTATATATTTATTGCAGTTCTGCTTCAGTTCCCGAAAATAAAGGGGTTTAGTTTGTTATCAGTGACAACACTGCCTTGTTAATTTCTTATTTTATTTTATTTTTTTATTTGTGAGTTTTGAGTTTTAAGTTTTGTGTAAACTTAGTTTAAATTTGTTTAAATTCATGAATTATTATTTCCTGTTATTACATAATTAAATTCTTAATTCTAATAATTATAAATATGTTAGTATAAATCTATATTTGTAATCATATTTATGAAAGTTTAATTAATTTAATAAAATTATTTAGTATATTTCAATATAATTTAAAATTTCATTTCAAAGGTTTCATTTGTTATTATTGTAATGTTGTTGTTGTTGTTATTGTTAACATAAATTTATACTATACTTTTTTTTGTATTATCAGGATATCAGCCATTCTGCTTTCTAGATAGCGCCATGTTTTTCCTAAAAATGTGCATAAATTATTAAAAGATTAAATGATATAGGTTCTGTTCTGCATGTTTTTCTAATTCAGTAAAAGTGGCTATGTAATAATGGGCAGTTTCCTTTCACTCTTGACATTTTATGACAGGGTCATGGGCATTGATCCTTTTCAGCCAAAATTATTTTATGGTCAGTTTGTCTTCTTTATGATGGGCCATCAATCATGCTGGACTCATGCAGGGAAGGGCAGCAGAGCTCCTCAGTTAAATTCTCATTGCACAAGCTCACAAAGTAAAAAAAAAAAAACTGCCACTTCAACTTTATATTTCCATTGATTTGAAGATCTTTTAAAAAGCAGCTGTAAATTTGAGAATAATGGTGGTTCTCTCCCTACAAGCTCTGCAAGAATAGACCTTTCACTTGGACTAAAAGTTCGTGTTGTTGGCTCAGCAAACTCACTGCAGAGAACTTGAGCTTTCCAAAGCTGAGCTTCTGAGCTGTCTAAATGTCCACTGCAGCACTTTCTCTGAGACGATAACACTGCATTACCACTGAACCAATGAGAGACCATCAGACTTTTTGGCAAAAGTGTTACCATTAAGCTGGAAGTTGGAACAGGAACAATTCATTTGTATTCACGATTCACATGATTATGCTTGACTATTTTAAGATACATTTAATCAAAACTTTAGTTGATTACTAGATTATTATTGTTGTTTTCATCATCTTGGACATCCTTAATTTTCATTGACCAGATGTGTTTCTCTCCCCTCATGTGTCACAGGTCTGGGAAATTTCATCTGGGGAGATGCTCCTGTCCGTTCTCTTCGATGTCGGCATCATGTCAGTGACCTTTGACCCCTGCGAGTATTTCCTGTTCTGCGGAGGTAGTGACGGCAATATTTTTCAGGTGTCTCTCTGCAGCACGGTAAGCACTTTAGACACCGACATTTCCTTATCAATGGCATTTATCCTGAAAGCAGGTCTGATGAGACCTTTGTAATAGAGTTTTTGTCACCGTTGTGAAGATGTTTATGAGACGTTTAATTGGCCGATAGCGCATGAAGCAGCCTGTTGAGGTTTCATAAGCGGTAATGCACCCTGTATTATCTTCACTGCGTTAGACGGACAAGATTAGGTAATTTTAACTGGACTCCTGTTTGGCAGTGATTAGATAAAAATAGTGTCAAGTCATTTTCTGTCAAATCTTCATTTCTTTTCTTTCACATAGTCCTCAGAGTAAACAGTCAATTTCAATTCCTGGTGTGAAGCGTTTATATGCTGATCTTTGTGATCCTCTGTCCTGATCCTTCATATGTCTCCTCAGCACTGCTGAGAACTGAAGTGAGTGCTTTTTTAAATTTTTCTAGAGAGCTGTCCATTTCAATCCAGGTCAGGGCATCTTAGAGAAAAGCACTCGGTGCTGAAAGGCAAAAATGGATGTGAAATCAATGTGTTTCCTCACATTCTTACCTCTCTTCACCTTTACACTCATCTCAAAGGGAATTTCAGATTAAACGTATGCAGGTGTCATGGCCATTGTCAGTTTCACTTAAAGCCAATGTAGTTTTGCTGGATCATTGGAAGTAGGTTATTCCCCAGCAGGTACTTTTGGCTTTGAGAATATATGAGGCTCAACCAGCGGAAACATCTGTTTACCGAGAACATTGTTATTGGGAATTTTGTTGTTTTTGGAAATTATTGAATTTTAAGGAGATCACAGAAAAATGCATTTACTCATCCTCGTGTTTTCAAACCTGTATGACTTGTTTCTTCTATGAAATGCAAGGAGATGTTTAGCAGAATGTTCATGCTGTTTTTTCCAATGTAAAGTTAATCTGACAGCATTGCATTCAATCCTCCACCAATGCCGTCTTTTATTGCGTCACTGGTTAGCCTCTGGTCTGTCTTTGCACGTTCATGTGTTTTGGAGGAGGTGTGGCTTTGGAGAGTGATTTGCATGGAGGGTGGGATATTGTGCTTTCAAAGCTAGCTTGCTATTGCTACCCTACGTTTAATGTACTGCATGAAAAAATTATTATTCATTTTGAAAATTACTATAATCTACTTTTAACAGAAATTAGCACGCACAATTAAATAGGGATGCACCAAATTTCACTGGACAAAATAAATTGATCTCTGTGCACAGGCATTTGAGAGACAAGTCCGAAGGGACTGTCTGCAAAGTGCAAAACCCAAAAAGCATTGACTACAAAAATATTCAATAACTTCACTGTATCACACTGTAGTGTCACCAAATTCAGTTCACACATCAGTGCTCTCCTGCTGGTTATACTACAACACTGAAAAATTGTGCTACTTTCAATAAAAAATTCAGTGTGTGGTTATTTTATTAGTTTGTAGTTTTTCAGTTCAGATTACAGCCCTCTATGAACACCTTGGCAATTGAATCGCCAATGGCTAGTAAATTTTTTTTGTTTACTCGCCAGACTTATATATATATATATATATATATACACACACACACACACACA